CTTGCCTTCGCTCCCCGGCTCTCCGGCCGCTTTCCCTCCCTCCCCTCGGTCCCGCCCCGTCCAGCCCGGGCTGCCCGGCTCCCGCAGGCCCCCCCGCCGCCCGCGTTCCTATGGACAGACGCACAGACACCTGCAGGTGGGTGAGAGCCCGCGCGCGGGGCGGGGACGAGCGCGCCGACTCTGCGACCTGGGCCGGGGAGCCCCTTTGTGTAGGGGGTGGCCGCGCTGGGGTCCGCACTGCCTCCCCTTCGGCAGCCGAGCAGTGACCCGGCTGAACCCTCTTTTGTCTCCTGGGGGGGGCGGGGTGGGAAGGCCGAGAGTCAGGGCAGCGACTTGGGCGGCTGGCCGTCGCCGACGACGGGCTTGGGGGCGCGAAGGGTGAGACCCCGGGCGGCCGAGCGGGCTCCCGGACCGAGCGCGGGCGGCCGCGGCTCTGGTCAGCCTCGGCGGGGCTGGCCCGCCGCCTAGCATCTCCTGTCGCCGCCGCGGGCGCGCTGCGTGGGTCTGGCTCGCTTGCTCCTGCTCTTGGGTCTGTTTGGAGGTGGGAAGGAGGGCGGGAAGGAGAAAGAAAAGATCTGCCCTCTTAGTTTCCAAGTCTTGAGACGGTTGTGGAGACAGGGAGAGAGGTGGTTCGGGTCTTTGCCCGACTTGTTTCCTTCGCGAGAGGCACGCTGAGGTGCGTGTGGGGCGTGTGTGGAGGAACGTGCATCGCTTCGGTCCCTTATTTATTGTTTCTAACGGAGGAGGGCTTTCTCCGAAGGGCTCTTCCGCCCCCCTCCCCCATCTGAGGCTGCGCACAGTGATTTGTGTTTGTTATCAAATACATCGAGAAATGTATTCCCCTGGGTGCGAGGAGGCGCGGCTGACCAAAATCACACCGTTTCTGGTTTTCAGGTGGCTTTTCTTCTTTTCTTAAGATTAGGTAGGGACTTACAGGCAAATCAAAGATAAACATGGCTGTGATTTTTACGATTTTTTTTACATGTATACATATTTTAAAGTTTGATGGTAAAGTTTTGTTATTTCCCGTGCTCTTTAGGATTAGCATGACAGAATCTTCTACCTATTAAGTAAACAGTTAAGCGAGTCAGATAGTGACAGCTTCCACGGTGGAGGTTAAATTGGAGTGCAATAAATAGCTTTCCGTTTAGGCTGAAACCTGTATTTTTGCTGGTTTAAAATATGAGGTCTTCCACAGCATATGGGGACAACGTGAATGTTAGAACTGATTTTTCTCTCTGTGATTGTGCTTTCCCTCTTTTATTCTGTTTTTATGTATTCTCTCTATACAACCCAACGATTGGGTTGTACATGGTGGATATAGTTTTTTGAAAAGTACTGTAGGTGATATTTCTGAATTATATTATTTATCTGGATGAGTTTCTTATGAAGAGTTGATATGTATTTGTAGATATTCAAATTATAAATGAAGTTGAATAAGCACCCAAAAATTTCATTTTACAGATTCAGATTTTTAATGCAGGTATGGATTTATATCTTTGTATTAATCTCAATCTAGTGCTCACTTCTGGAGACTTTTTTTTTTGCCTATTGTGTGAGAATCCATATTGACAAATTTAAATCGGATGGTTATCAAGGAGATTAAAAAAACAGTTTTGGGTGCACTCAGTTATATGTACAGCTATATGTAGAAAACAGAGGCTTTGTTAAACATCTGAACTTAAAGGAAAAACACTTTGGTGGAAAACAATTGATTTAAATCTTCATCGAGTAAGATGTAGAAATTCATCAGAAATGTACAATTTTGATGCAGTTTTATTAGGCAAACTGATTTTTGTCATTATAAAGAGACCGTTTTAGTGGGCTGAAAAGAGTGGTCTTTTTCTAGGAGAAAAAATTAGCCTAGATTCTTGCCCTAGTTACATTAACAGATTTATTATTGCATGCCTAATTTTGTAAATATCTGGAGTGTACATTTTTGTACACTTAAAACCTAGAAGATGCTACATCTAACATTAATTTCACTAGTCCCTTTGAATTTATCAAATTTTATTCTTGCTTTGACTTCCTGTCTAGATTAGCTAAACGAATTTAGACTGCATAGGGCTCAGTGCAAGGCGCTAGTAGGCCCCTGAGGAAGGTTCCTCTTTCTTTTTCAATAAGGATGGCCCAAAGAGCATAGATATTGAAATTTGTTCAGGCTTTATTAGCAATGGTGGGATGGAGTTCAAAAACACTCCCAGGGTGATGGATTACAAACTCTTAGTTCTTAGAAGTTTTAAAAAAGATAAGCTAACAACTTGAATTGTTTATGTATTTATTTATAGGACTGTCAATCAGAGGAATAAGGTTTAACAAAGAGTCACTGTGTAAATTAAATATTAAGAGTGTGGCCTGTGTTGAGAATTGCTTGGCAACTTGTAGTTACGCCTAACATTTTTTTGGGATTGGCAGTGTAGTGTCTTCACGTTCGCTGGCTAAAAGATAACACCTAGTTTTTTTTCTGTTTTGTTTTTATTTTTGGCTCTGAAAAGTGGATATTAATTTTTTGGTTTTTGTATAATTAACATTAATATTTTCATGTAATCAGAAGCAGTCCAGAGAACCTTACATATTTTCAACTGATTCTCTTCTGGTTTGGTGGTGTTTAGGAAGGCGTATAAATTATTTTTCACTCTTCATGATTGAAATTTTTTTCTGATACTTTTGATACTACAAATGTTACTTCCAGAAATTTTGAATATGTAAAGTTGGATTTTAAATATAGCTGAGCAATATAAACTGACATTTACCAGTTTCTTTTTTTTAAACAACGCTAAGCTGCCCAGTTAAATTTGATAGGCTTGAAAATCCATAGACTTTTCCTGCTTGTTAGTTATCAGTGTGGTACCATGAAAGGAAACTCAAAATGGCCACTTAAGGTTACCTGGAACCCTCAAAGGACTAGTATTATTAGTACTAACCAAATGGAAAACTGAAAAGTAACAGTTTTATTCTTTGTAATAGATCTGTGACTTTCAAATACTTCTTTTTCATGAAGTTTTTTATAGCTTGGTGTGGAAGCAGGTCTGACTGTGAAAAGTGTGGACAGTGACCTCTCATTCCAGCCTTTATCGGCCTGCATTGTTTAAGAATGGCATAAATTCATGCTGCTCTTTGAAAATGTGGAATTCATTCTTGGATTAATATTCTGCTACCAGATGTACAAGGCTGGCTCTGAAGAAGCTTTTTCTCTTAAATACTGTCAAAAATAGAGAAGCTGAAGATTGGAGAGAAGCCATTTATTTTGAACAGTTTATTTTCTGACAGTTTGTGTTTGTAAAGAAACCTGCTCATAATATTTACGTAAGAGATCTACATAGTTGCCCAAAGAAGCCCCACAGGTTTTTTTCCTTTAAAAAAGTTTCCATAGAGCTTAACTCTTATGTGATACTTCTTGACTTTGCTTCTGATTAGTTGATTTATGGACTTTATTTACCAGCATGATTGGAGAATTCTTTTGCTGTACAGAAATTGCACTCTGCCTGTGCTCTGGTCTGTTTCCTAGGTAACAAATGTACTGCATAGATTCCATAATGAGGACTGTGGTTGGCTAGTTACAGTGTAAATTCTGTTGTTTGGTAAAGCTTAGTCTCAAATTCAAATAAAGGTCAAGAAACCAAAAGTACTCAAGATGCGAATTTTTGAATTTTATTTTGTATCCAATGTCAACAAAGTTTAATACGCTTTTCTGGAGAAAGGCAAATTATGCAGCAGTATTCAAATGTATTTTGTAAAGTCTTAAATAGTTGGAGAGCTTTTTGACTCTTCCATTATTGGTAATACCAATGGCTCTAGTAACAAAGAAAATGTATTTCAAAACACTTTATCACACTTTAATATAGAAAGCAAAGGGATATTGTCTAGGATGTCAGTAACTGGCTTTTTTGTATTGAAAGAAAAGTAACATCATATATGTTGCTAAAGATAAATTGTGCAACTTCATGTGAAATACAACATTTAGGGGGGCCTGGGTGGCTCACTTGGTTGAGTGTAGTCAGACTCTTGTAAAGAAAAAAAAAAGAATAGAACTTTTAAAAACTTTAAGAAGACATTAAAACATTTTAAGAAAACATTAAAAGTCTTGGGGAGCCTGGGTGGCTCAGTCGGTTAAGCATCTGCCTTCGGCTCAGGTCATGATCCCAGGGTCCTAGGATCCAGTCCTGCATCTGGCTCCTTGCTCAGCAGGGAGCCTGCTTCTCCTTCTGCCTCTGCCACTCCCCCTGCTTGTGCTCACTCTCTCTTTCTCTGACAAATAAATAAATAAAATCTAAAAAAAAAAAAAAATTAAAAGTCTTACTGTGAAATGATACATTGGTACTCTAGCTATTTTCTCTCTGATCTGCCTGAATTTTGGCCTGCTTAGCACCAGGGAGCAAGTCTGTCTTAGGTAGCTATAAATTGGAGAATAGCTTTTCCCTCCCCCTTACTCTCCTCTTGAAATCTATAGCTCTAGATGCAGGGCAAGGAATAATATATGTGCAATTGCTAGTAATTATTACCTGTTTGTTAAAAAGAAAATTTACAGTGAACCAGAATTCCATTAATACCCATTGAAAATATCTTTTCATTTGATGCCTGAAAATGTTTTGTTTGTTGATCATCAGGGATTCTGTTAGGTGAAAAAAAAAATTTTTTTTTTAAAGATTTCTTTATTTTAGAGAGAGAGAGAGAATCTTCAAGCAGATTCCCTGCTGAGTGCAGAGCCTGATGCAGGGCTTGATCGCAGGACCCTGAGATCATGACTTGAGTGGAAACCAAGAGTTGGATGCTCAACTGACTGAGCCACCCAGGTGCCCCTGAAAAAAAAATTTTTTTTTAAGTTAATTGGAGGGACACCTGGCTGACTCAGTTGGTAGAGCATGTGGTTCTTGCTTTGGGGGTTGTGAGCTTGAGCCACATGTTGGGTGTAGAGGTTACTTAAAAAAAAAAAAGTTGGGGCGCCTGGGTGGCTCAGTCGTTAAGCGTCTGCCTTTGGCTCAGGTCATGGTCCCAGGGTCCTGGGATCGGGCCCCGCATCGGGCTCCCTGCTCAGTGGGAAGCCTGCTTCTCCCTCTCCCACCACCCCTGCTTGTGTTTCCTCTCTTGCTGTGTCTCTTTCTGTCAAATAAATAAATAAAATCTTTAAATAAAGTT